CCCCAAGCCTCCACTCGCAGCTGCTGGATGACCTTGGGCAAGCCACAGTCCTGTCAGAGCTGTTCTTGAAAAAGAGCCGTTTCTGTCAAGAGCTCTCTCAGCCCCACCTACCTCACAGGGTGTCTGTTGTGGGGAGGGGGAGGGAAAGGAGTTTGTAAGCCGCTCTGAGACTCCTTAGTATTAGTAAGGATTTCTTCCTATGGAGGGTTTATAGGCTCTTAATGAAGGAAAGAAAATGGGAACGAGAAAGTTTCATACCAATTGCAAGTCTTAATTTTTTAAAAGGAACTGTCATCACGAATTTGGATTTGTGATGTAACTAGCAGTAAGAAAACAAAATGCCCCAAGCACCAAGAATACAGAGCATCACTTGCCCCAGACCGAGAGCTCCTATCTATACCTTGTGGCTAATAGCCACTGATGGATCACTTTTCCATATGTTTATCCAATTCCCTCTTGAAGCCATCCATGTTTGTAGCCACCACCACCTCCTGTGGCAGTGCATTCCATGTGTTAATCACCCTTTGGGTGAAGAAGTACTTCGTTTTATCCGTTCTAACCCGACTGCTCAGCAATTTCATTGAGTGCCCACGCATTCTTGTATTGTGAGAAAGGGAGAAAAGTACTTCTTTCTCTGCCTAGTCTATCCCATGCATAATCTTGTAAACCTCTGTCATGTCACCCCTCAGTCGTTGTTTCTCCAAGCTAAAGAGCCCCAAGCGTTTTAACCTTTCTTCATAGGGAAAGTGTTCCAACCTTTTTATCATTCTAGTTGCTCATTTCTGCACATTTCCCAATGCTATAATATCCTTTCTGAGGTGTGGTGACCAGAACTGTACACAGTACTCCAAATGAGGTGGCACCATTGATTTATACAGGGTCATTATGGTACCATCTGATTTGTTTTCAATTCCCTTCCAAATAATCCCCAGCCAGGCCCGGCTCTATCACTAGGCTAGCTAGTTTCTGGCCTAGGGCGGAGCTTCGAACAGGGTGCCAACTGCCCTGCCGCCCTCCCCCCCGCCCTCCCACCAAAAGCCCCAACCATCCCTGCTCAAAGCTGCTGCTACTCATCTCGCGGCTTTGGTCCCCTGGCTGCTGTGCCCATCACTGATTCGCCACCGCCGCCCTCTGAGCCAGCTGGGGGTTGTGGTGGGGGCGGCGGAAGAAGCAGCGGGGATGGTCGAGGGGGTGGGGGGCGTCCTCCCCGCAGCGCCCAAGCGTGCCCGAGCCCTCCTCAGCAGCCATGGCCACCACTGCCTCGCCCGCTGCTCCGGCGCCCTCCGCGCTCACTGCAGTGGAGTGCCAAACGGAAGCTTGCGCCATCTGCCAGGCAGGGGCTGTCTTTTCATGCCCCTCCCCTGCTGGCTTAGCCTTGTCCAACGGCCACTAGAGTACGGGTGGGGTGGCGTTGTGGGTGTGTGTGTGGAGCCTCTACTACTGTTGCCGCTGCCACTGCTTCTGGACGGGCCTCGCTCTGGGGCGTTTGATTGTGATCAAGCGCTGGACCCTCTTAAAAGGGCGGCTTGCCAGAGATGGCAGGCGGTGGAGTGGAGGGGGCGTGCCAAGCGCAGGGGGAAGGCTGGAGAGAATTCGAGGCTGCTGCTGCTGGTGGTGGCGTCGAGACCGCCGCAGGAGAGCGGCAATTGACATGGTTTGTACGGCTCGGGCGCCTTCCGCACTCACTGCAGCCCATCCTCGACAGATCCCTTTGGAGCACTCCTCCGTGTTTTTCACCAACCTAAACAATTTTGTGTCATTCACAAATTTAGCCACTTCACTGCTTACTCCCAACTCCAAATAATTAATGAACAAGTTAAAAAGAATCTGACCCAGATCCCTGTGGTACCCCACTGCTTACCACCCTCCGCTGAGAAAATTTCCCATTTATACTCACTCTCTGTTTACTATTAGTTAGCCAGTTTTTGATCCACAAGAGGACTTGTCCTTTTATCCCGTGACTATTGAGCTTACTTAGGAGCCTTTGATGAGGAACTTTATCAAAAGCTTTTTGGAAGTCAAGGTAAACAACATCTATTGGGTCCCCTTTGTCCACATGTTTGTTCACCCTCAAAGAATGCTAACAGGTTAGTGAGACAAGATCTTCCTTTACAGAACCCATGCTGAGTCTGCCTCAATAGTTTTTGTTCATCAGTGTGCCTACTAATTCTGTCTTTAATAACAGTTTCCACCAACTTACCTGGTATTGTCAGGAGTTCCACAAGTTCACATTTGAGTTCTTTCAGAACTTTAAGTTTCCACCAACTTACCTTGTATCAACATCAGACTGACTGGCCTGTAATTTTCCAGATTGCCTCTGGAACCCTTTTTAAAGATAGGAGTGACAT